GTGTGCCAGGCTCTAGAGGGGACACAAAGACATACAAGACTTGGTTCCTACTTCTAGTATTTTCAAGAAAGAAACCCCATTTATATAACATCTGCATGCAAGGAAAGTCCATTAAAATGAGTTTTGGGGCACCTGGGTGGCTCAGTTGGTTAAGCGTCTGACTTCAGCTCAGGTCATGATCTCACGGTTCGTGAGTTCGAGCCACGCTTCCGGCTCTGTGCTGACAGCTCGGAGCCTGGAGCCTGCTTCGGATTCTGTGTCTTCCCTCTCTTTCTACCCCTTGCCCACTCACACTCTGTCTCTCTCTCTCTCTCTCAAAAATAAACATTAAAAAAAATTTTTTTAACGAGTTTTAATCTTGATGTTTATTCTTCAATTACAAAGAAAAAATGTCTGCTTAGGACTGAAATGTCACTATGTGAAAATATTGGTTGAAGGCTGAAGGTATCTCCACAGAACAAAGAACAATTCACATAACAGCATGAAATTCAAGCCTCATTCTATTGCCTAGGTAACATGGACTCCAAGCAGCTAGCAAGAGTTCAGGTGAGAATAAACAAATGATTATAGCTGTCAGTGAAAATGTACACATTAACCTAGCAATGAATTTGTCAATAATTACCATCTATTTACTTTGTCAATGCTGGTGCTTAAGCTGTAAGATCTCAGGAAGAAAGTCTGCCAGAAATGGGTGGTGATTTATATTAGGAAAGAGAAAAGCAATAATTGTGCATGTACACAGAAGGCTGGCAGGGAGGAAGGTTCGGATACAAAGACCTAGACACCTGTGGGTCCATTAGTCTGTAAAATCAACAAAACCTTTGTGTTCAGATTCCATCAGATCCTCGGGGCTCTGAAAAGAACAGCAATTGTGAACAGAATATTGCCCTAATAATTAGAATTTGCTTCCACAAACATAAGAAATTCCACTCAATCTGTCTAATAGTCCTTCTGGAAAGAAAAGCCGCTTTCCTTGCACATTTTAAGGCATTGAGTAAAAATCTGTGTGTACCATGTGCCAGGCCCTGCTCTACACTTTGAGTAGCACTGGGTAGTTAGTTGACTATCCACCTTTGTCCTGATCCCTCCACACCTCTTTCCCTAGTCAGTCATCTGGTGTCTGGTGGGTCAGAACAAATGCATCTGTGTGATCGGTAGAATGGATTTTCCTATTCAGCCTAACAGCAACCTAACCAAGTAGCTGCAATCTGATTTAAACTTAAGCCCAGAAAATAAACAGCTTCATATTTTAATGCTATAGGATTTTAGAGCTATAAGAGATCTCAGAGGTAACCTACTCCAACCCATTATTTAATGATTCTTTTGCTTGTAGGCTAATACTGCATCATGTACAACAGTTCTTAAGCCAGTTACAGAAAATTAAGTTGGGCAGAACTGTCAACACAAATCCAGTTTACAGGCTAGTTCGTATATTTTAACATCAACCCATAGGGTTTTAAGGTTGATATTGTGATGGGTGCCTGGTTGGCTCAGTCGATTAAGCATCCGACTTTGGCACAGGTCATGATCTCCTGGTTCATGAGTTCAAGCGCTACGTCTGGCTATTTGCTGTCAACGCAGAACCCACTTTGGATCCTCTGTCTCCCCCTGTCTGCTCCTCCCGCATGCCTTCTCTCTCTCTCAAAAAGTAAATAAACATTAAAAAAATTTTTTTTAAAGGTTGGTACTGTAAATTTAAAGAATCTCTGGTGTGATAGGAAGATTATCTGTACCTCTATGGGAGGACGCTGGTAGTTTCTCTACATCTATGTACATCTAAGGTTAGGGGCACCTGGGTGGCTCAGTCTATTGACTGAGTCCAGCTCTTGGGTTCAGCTCAGGTCATGATCTCATGGTTCATGGGTTTGAGCCCCACATTGGGCTCTGCACTGGCAGTATGGAGCCTGCTTGGGATTCTCTCTTCCTCCCTCTCTCTCTGCCCCTTCCCTGCTCTCTCTCTCTCTCAAATAAATAAATAAACATTAAAAAAAAACTCTAGGGTTAAATGAATGTCCCCCAAATATTTATAGTTTATAGTTGGAAGTAATATATATAAGCTTCATATTTTACTAACTTATCTAGGGGTAAACAAATATGTATTAAAATATGTATATTATATATTAATATCCAATAAATTTATAAGTTATATATCACATCTGTATAATATATTACAATACATATCTTATTTAGGGATTATAATATTGTGATTATATTATTAAATTTATTAAATTATAATGCTCTATTACATTTTATTGTATTTCTTTTGTTGTTTGCATAGTGGATGAACACACCTCTAATGGGGATCCAGAGTGATCTGAAATTTAAATCAGATTTAAATCGGGGTGCCCGGGTGGGTCAGTCAGTTAAGTATCTGACTTCCGTCAGGTCATGATCTCACTGTTGGTGAGTTCAAGCCCCATTTCAGGCTCTGTGAGGACAGCTAGGAGCCTGGAGCCTGCTTTGGATTCTGTGTCTCCCTCTCTCTCTGCCCCTTCCCTGCTCACATGCTGTCTGTCTCTATCTCTCTCTCTCTCAAAAATAAATAAACATTAAAAAACATAAAAAAATAAAATAAATCAGATTTAAATCTAGTTATCACAGGTGGTTTAAAGAGAAAGAAGTCAAGCTCTGGAATCAGAGTACCTGAATTCAAAGCCCAGCTCTGACTTTTAAGAGTAGATAATTTGCCCAAGGTCACAGGGCTCCTTATGTGTGAAATGGAGATGATCATAATACTTAGTCATAGTATTGTCTTAAAGATTAAATGAAGTAATCCATTCAACAACTATGCGCCAAATATTGTTAGGCACCAGGGGTACAGTGAGTAAATGCATATACAGGACATTTAATAAACTTGGATTTTTTCATCTAAAAGCTCATACCCACAGACTTAGGATTATATATAGGATTTAAAGAAGTTTTGAGCTGTAGAAACAGGAATGAATTATTTATTGAGCCTCCAAGATCATGGATCAGCATTGAAATGCTGATGAACACACAATAGTATCCAATTACAAGAGAGTATTGTGTGATTGGGCATCAAAAGCAAAATGCACCTGTTGACTGATTTAATACGTGCATTGAGCAGTTTATGTAGCGTATTAATTAATTTTCAATGCACTGAAACTGGTTGTCAGGCGTTTAAATATTTCTTTCAGAACAACATCTGTGAAAACTTAGAACAATGATGAAAGCATGAATAAAAAATGGAAAGGTGTGACTTATGTAGACAGTTATTAATACTGGTGATAAAGTTTTGTTTTTTTTTTTTAAACGTTGTTCATTATTTTTTGAGAGGATTAAAAACCCTTTCCCCCTATTGGATACTTTTGCCCTTCCCTAAGAGTAACATTCCCCTCAGTCATGTTTTTATCAAAAAAAAAATCTATGATGATTTAGTTCTCTGCTTTTTTAAATCAGTATGTTACTCCTAGGATATCTGGGACCATGGAGGGGGATGAGAAAAAACAAATATGGTGTACCTTTCCTGAAGCATCAATTTTCCTCAATTTTTCATATTGAAACCAACAAGGATTTATCATGGAGCAGGATGCAAAATCCACCTGACTTCATAAAATAAAATGAAACATTAAAGAAATTTCTCCTTGTACTAGCCTCTAATTAATCAATTAACTAACTTTTTGCACTGGCCTCTTGAGAGCATATTTGGGGTACAGAGGCTTTCTTTTCTTTAGGAGAAAGGTCAGCAACTATTGTACACAAGGAATGGATATTTCTTCACTTTGCATTGTCAGGGACAAAGGGTTTGGAATCACACTTAAACATGGCTTTAATTACTTTGCTTATTTCTAAACTTTTTATTGCTTTCTGTTATCTACTGAAATTAAAAATAAATTATCACACACCACGAAAATGAATTCAACGCAACATACTTCTAACTAGGACACGGTGTCTCAACTCTGAAACAGCATTGACGAAAACCCTGTGCTACTACAAAATCAGAGAGAAAGACATTTCTGTGTTATTGGAATAACACAAGATGCTAAAAGAAGACCTGTGGAAAAGAATGAACTTGAGTGCAAATTTTCCCCTACAGTTGGCCTTGAATATGACTGCAAACTAATTTGAAGGAATTTACTTAACCTTCGAAGCTTTATCCAAAATGTCAGCCATTCAGAATCTAAGAAGTGCTTATAAAACCCATTCTCTAGTTCATTAATCTGCTTACTCTTTTCACAGGATTTACCACGGTCAGAAACGTATCTTAATCATTCGTTTAACTTGTTTATTGCCTGTCTCTTCTATCCCTGACCCTCAAAAGTAGGGTCACTTGTATCTCCAGCATCTAGCCAGGCACTTGGCTATCTCATAATAGACGCTCAAAATATATTTGTTGAATTTCGGTGATGACCACTTTATATGGCACGCATATTCGTCAAGAAAACACTGAAGCGAAGGGCAGGGGAAGTGTATCTGACCTCTTCAAAAGTGCAGGATCCTACTTGATGGAGTGAATGTCCATCTGTGCTCTCCACATCCGTTACCATCTCTGATGCTGAAATGCTGACGGAAGGGCAAGGTCTTGGTAGAAAAACGGGGATCACGTTTCTCCTTAGGACCAGAAACTAATGGTTCCCAGGGAATTTGCAGCTTTATATGATCTGAAAGTTCGTACTTTTAGGAGATTAAATAGCACCTCTTGTAAGGGCAGGAAATTACTCATCTGTTTAAGGGAACCCCCGGCCAAGCGCGGTAGGGGTTTAACGCCACCTCCCCGCTCGCCCCGCGGATAACCCCGGGCCCGGCCCTAGGCCTCCCGCGTCCAGCAGCGCGAGCGGCTGGGGCGCACCGGGACCTCCACGCCGCAGCTCCAGCACCCGCGCTCCGGGGTTCGGGAGGGAGGGGCGCTCTGCCCTGGGTTCCACTCCCGTCCTCAGCGAGCAGCCCGCCCCCTGCCGGGCGGGTCGCACCTTTCGGAACCCTAGGGAGCAAGGCGACCCCGAGGCCCGGGCGAGGGTGGAGCCGGGTCCCCTGCTCACCGCTGCGGAGCCTGTTGCCGTCGCCGGCCTTGTTGAGGGCGCTGCTGGAGCAGCCCATCGCGGGCAGAAGGGCGGCCTTGTGGGTGAGCGCAGCCACCTGTCCCAGCCTGGCGCGAGCGTCGGCCAGGAGCTCGGATCCCGCGCAAACTGCACCGGCGGCGCAGAAGCTTCTCCGGCGGCTGGCCCGGCTCTGGCGGGTGCAGAGCGCAAGCGCACAGCGGGGCGCGGGGGTGCCGGGCGCACCTGCGAGGGAAGGTTGCCGCCGGGAGGTGGAAGGGGCCAGGGGGCCGGGCTGGCGGGAACGAGGAAGCAGAAGACAGGAACAGGGAGCCCGGTTGGCAGGAGGTGGAGGGTGGGGTCAAGGAGGAGAGGAAAAAAGACTCAGAGAGGCATAGGGAGGATGCCCCGGAGAGAACGAAGGACTGGGAGGGCTCATCTGAATCATCACTAAATAGCTGGGGAGGGGGGAGGAGGCGATTGTGGCCCGTGGCTATTGATTGGTAGACCAGCTTTGGATGGCAGATCTGTTCTTACATAACAGCAGTTGTGTTACCACAAGGAAGTTTGCTGTTAACACTATTTAATCCACCTCATATCCAACGTTGGCCAATTGTCCAATCCAGGACCACACATTACATTTAGTTGTCATGCCTCTTTAGTTTGCTTTAATGTTTATTTATTTCTGAGAGAGAGAGAGACAGAGTGTGAGCAGGAGAAGGGCAGGGAGAGAGGGAGACACAGAATCTGAAGCAGGCTCCAGGCCCTGAGCTGTCAGCACAGAGCCGATGTGGGGCTCGAACCCATGAACCGTGAGATCATGAACTGAGCTGAAGTCAGACGCTTAACGGGCTGAGTCACCCAGGTGCCCCTAGTTTGCTTTAATCTGATGTAGTTTCCCAGACTTTGTCTTTCATGACCTTGACATTTTTTTTTTAATTTTTTTTTCAACGTTTATTTATTTTTGGGACAGAGAGAGACAGAGCATGAACGGGGGAGGGGCAGAGAGAGAGGGAGACACAGAATCGGAAACAGGCTCCACGCTCTGAGCCATCAGCCCAGAGCCCGACGCGGGGCTCGAACTCACGGACCGCGAGATCGTGACCTGGCTGAAGTCGGACGCTTAACCGACTGCGCCACCCAGGCGCCCCAATGACCTTGACATTTTTTAAGAGAACAGGCCATTTATTTTGTAGAATATTTCTCAATTTGGATTTGTCTGATGTTTTCTTATGACTGTTTTCAGGCAATGCAGTTTGGGCTGGAATACAAGATGTTATGTTGTAACATAGGCACATGATGTCCCCTTGCTGGTGATGTTAACTTTAATTAGGGTAGTGTTTGCCAGGTTTGCCGCCAAAAAGTTACGATTTTACTCTTCATAATTTATGGGGAAAGACTTTAAGACTAATACCCTGTATCTCATCAAACCTTTATCTGCTACTGTTAGCATACATTAACATTCCTGCTGGGATCAGTTATTACTATGATGGCTATCAAATGGTGATTTTCTTTTTCTAACGTTTATTTATTTTTGAGACAGAGAGAGACAGAGCATGAATGGGGGAAGGTCAGAGAGAGAGGGAGACACAGAATCTGAAGCAGGATCCAGGCTATGAGCTGTCAGCACAGAGCCCGACGGGGCTCGAACCCACGGACCGTGAGATCATGACCTGAGCCGAAGTCGGACGCTTAACTGACCGAGCCACCCAGGCACCCTATAATTGCCCCTTCTTATAAGGGTACCAGTCATGTTGGATTAGGGCCCACCCATATGACCTCATTTTGCCTTAATTACCTCTTTAAAGGGCCTGTCGCCAAAAGAGCCATATTATAAAGTTTAGGAATTCAACATATGAATGAGGGAACACGATTCAGACCATAACACCATCATTACTGATTTGGATGCTCAAATTGCCTGCAGTTTGGCATATTTCCTTACACGGGCCATAGGGGTACACAGCTATGGTCTCTACAGTGTATTTAGAGGTCTCCCTCCCTTCCTTCTCTACCCCCCTTTCTCCTCCCCTTCCTGCTCCCTTCTCTTCTCACTTTTCTCCTCTTTCTTTCCTTCCTGCAGTGCAGGCCCAACAAAGCCTAGGCCACCCCAGCAATCAATTCACAAATCCATTCCAGTGAGGAGGAGACTGGGTGTCTTTGAGGAAGTACACTTTACAACATTACAAATACATATTATGACTCTTCTAGCCTTCTATCCAGGGTTACCATGTCCCAAGAGAAGTACTTTTGAGAGTGGCTAAGGATTTGGCTGGATTCCAAGTCCCTGAGTAAATTGACAGCATTAGTGAAAGGAAGTTTAGGGGGAGAGGTATGTCAATGGACCTGGCAGAATAGACCAAAATTTGGGGGAATATTTATGTCTTACATAAATGCTATCAAAAGGCTGTTAGGTTGGGCTGTCCTAACAAAATGCCATAAACTGGGTGGCTTAAATAACATACTTATTTCTCACAGTTCTGGAGCCTGGGAAGTCTGATATCAAGGTACCGGCCAATTTGGTTTCTGGTGAGAACTCTTTTTGGCTTGCAGGTGGCAACCTTCTCGCTGTGTCCTCACATAGGGGTTGGGGTGGAATCTTCTTCCTCCTATAAGGCCACAGCCCTAACAGATTAGGGCCCCACCCTTATGACCTCATTTAACCTTAACTACCTCCTAAACCCTACCTCCCCATTGAGTCACATTGAGGGTAAGGGGTTCCACATATGAATGGGGGAGGGAGGGGACACAAGTCAGTCCAGAGCAGGTTCCCACTTCAGCCGACGCTTTTGTAAGTTAAAGTCACATTTAATTTTATTTAGCTAGTGAAATTTTTCAAAACTCCATTCTTCCTCAAAAGAGCTGCAATAACTTACAGATTTTGTTTTGAGTTTATTTATTTATTTTGAAAGAGGGGGAGGAGGGGCAGAGAGAGAGAATCCCAAGCAGGTTCCGTGCTGTCAGCACAGAGTCTGATGCGGGGCTCGATCCCACGAACCATGAGATCATAACCTGACCTGAATTCGAGAGTCAGATGCTCAACCGACTGAGCCACCCAGGTACCCCAAGATTGGTTAAATATGAACACTAACTTGAAATTCTCTGAGTCCTAATGTTTTCATGCTTACTGAGCCCAGTTAAGTTTCCTCCTTTCCCCATCAATTATTTTTTGACTGGGGTATCTTACTTTTCCTTGAAGATAATTTGTCAGCCAAGCCGTGGTCTCTTCCATTTTTCTTCAGAGGAAGCATTTTATAATCAGGTGAGTAATACTAATCAGGTGTCCTGTGGATGTTAGAAAGTCTTTCTCATGAGCCACCTCAAGTCTTGCTCAATGAACTCAGGAATAAAATGGCTCTAAGAACAGGGAGAGAAGCCATATATATGCTCAATACCATGTTCCTCCACTTAACACAGTTTCCCTGGGTAAGTGCCCAGTTTGCCAGCAGCAGTAAGAGTAACCAAGTGTAAGCCTCCAAAATGGCACCTATAATTTGAGGGGACCTATCAGCCACCTTGTGAAAGAGTGATCAGACCTCTTTTGAAGCACTAGAAAATCTTTATTTTAATAGACAGTGGATTATGTTTGCTTTTCCTGCACTTCAGGCCCCTGGCAGCACCATCCATTAGTGGATGGTATCATCAAGACATTACACACCAAGACAATACATTCGGTGTATCTTATTAAATAACTCACTTTACATGAGACAAGTAATGTAATAGGTTAATTTCTATGTGATTTACTGGTCTTCTCGTCTACCTCAATAGCCAGAAGCAGCTAAACCCATAGGATGATGGAAGGGCACAGTAAACACTCCCTTATGGCACCAACCAAGATAAAACCCCTTTGAAGGTTGGAGTGCTATCCTGTGGTTTGCAGAGTGTTCTGAACCAGTGACTAATAAATGGTACTGCTTCTCCCATGACCAGTATGCACACATCTGGGTCTTACTCTCCAAGCTACCTGTTCACTTGGTAAACTACAACATAATTTTCCTTTTATGCTTAACTGAGCTAGTTTGTTTCTGTTGCTCACAACTTAAGTATCTAGACTAACATACAATGATTACCCTACCTCCCCCTCTCCATGACTATTCTCCTTCTTAGCAATTACCTGTCCTGTCTTATTCTTGATAATACCTGAACATACCTGATACTGCGATTTTAAATGCTAATAGTACCTTGATTGAGTTGTATCTTGAAAGCATAGTTCCTAAGTCTTTTCACCTCCAAGGAGTCCTTTTATCATTTTTCTTCGACATACTCATGTTTTGATGTCACAAATTTGCATTTATTATTTCTCCATTAGCTAATCAGTGACATTTTCTGATCTGCATGACATAGTTACATCATGTATAGTATTAAGTTAATTAAGTTCCAGTTAAAAGCAAAAAACATCAGTGTCAATCTGTGTATTACAGCTTTATTAAGGATAAAAGTACATGTACATGGAAGGCTTTTCAAATTACTGAATATGTAAAATGTTATTATGGACACGTAGAAACATAGTAACCCCATTTATACTAAAATTTCAAAAATGGACTCTAAGAAATATAAAATAATCCAAAGACATTTATAGACACTACTTTCCCAAAATGTCACCCCTCTATAGTAAAATAGTGAATGAAGTATTCTGGGTTCTTTGTATCCAAGAATATAAAAAACCTATGCTCCTTGGATGGAAAAATGGTTTAAAAAAAAAAAAAAGGAGAAAGCATTTCCCTGGCTTATTTTTAATCCAGTGCAGTCTGGAGCATTCCTAGTCTGAACAGAGAGGGGAACAGAAGAAATATTTTGGATTCCTTATTATTGTGGAGGCAGAAAGGGTGCAGAGGAATAGGTAGCATTCATTCCCCTTTGTCCTCTAATGGTTCAGAATTCTTATATTGGTCTATGTGTGTTTAGTTAGTCAAAAGGTCACCAACATTCATTCAGTTTACAGGATCTTTTCACTTGGATTCACTGTCCCTCCCTCACCAGATTTCTGAGCATGTTTAATGTCTGGGTGACTTAAGAATGTGAAGGTTGAGTTAGACAAATAGAGTTCCAAATTACAGCTGACCCTTGAACAACACTGATTTGAACTGGAAGGGTCCACTTATATGTGGATTTTTTTTTTTCCAATACAGAACTGTGATGTATTTACTCTTATGATCTTCTTAGGAACATATTCTTTTCTCATTTACTTTATTGTAAGTATATAGTATATAATACATAGAATATAAAAAATACATTATCTGACTGTTTATGTTATTGATAAGGCTCTTCTGGTCAACAGGAGGCTATTAGTAGTTAAGATTTTTAGGAGTCAAAAGTTATACAATGGGCTTTTGAAAATGTGGGGGGTCGGTGCCTCTGACCTCTGAGTTGTTCAAGGGTCACCTGTATTAATGGGCCACTTCCTAATCTGGACACTAAGTAATAGCAATGATAATGAATATGATAGTTTTAACTGCTTAAGGGGATGGGCCAGTGTACTGAACC